GGCTCTGGTCAAAAGCCCCTCTCCAGCTTTCCTGTAGCCCCTTTGGGTACTGGAAGGTACTGGAAGGTCTCCCCAGAACCTTCTCTTCTCCAGGCTGAACAGCCCCAACTCTCTCAGCCTGTCTCCATAGCAGAGGTGCTCCAGCCCTCAGATCATCTTCGTGGCCTCCTCTGGACCTGTTCCAACAGCTCCATGTCCTTATGTTGGGGACCCCAGAGCTGAACACAGCACTGCAGGGGGTCTCAGGAGAGCAGAGCAGAGGGGCAGAATCCCCCCCCCGACCTGCTGCCCACGCTGCTCTGGATGCAGCCCAGGGCACGGTTGGCTTTCTGGGCTGCCAGCGCACGGTGCCAGCTCATGGTGAGCTTCTCATCAAACAACACCCCCAAGTCCTTCTCCTCAGGGCTGCTCTCAATCCATTCTCCACCCAGCCTGTACTTGTGCTTGGGATTGCCCCGACCCATGGGCAGGACCTTGCACTTCACCTTGTTACATATGCTTTCATCTAAAAGGTTAAGTCAAATTAGTACCTTTCTTGTCTTTACCCAGAAGAACAAGTTTGGGTGGGTACAACGGAGTCTCTGGCATGGAAGGACGAAGTTCCCCTATCCGCATCTCACTGGCAGGATGTCCAAAGGCATCCTGAGGAACATAATAACGTCGAGTAAACATAGGAAACAGAATCCACTTCAAGCTGCAATGAACAAACATTTCACAGCCTTCTTTTCACGAATGTGACAACACACCAAAACTCTACCATACGGGCAGTGTCTCATCATGCTGATTTGTCAGATGAAAATTCTAATTAGTCCTACATAAATACTTGTAAAAATCATGGTGATGTGTTCATTCTGAAAATGTGGACAAAAACAGATGGAACTTGCACATCAAGGCCGTGTAAACATTTTTGATGAAGTAAAGGTCACAAACATGCAAGCTGCCAGTAACAATAAATAAAAATTCAGAATAAACATTTGCTTCTTATTTCAGGAGTAAGTATTCCTCATTCATTTATTTGTGACACAAGTAATTCCATAGATTCAACTGTCCCTATAGCTATATTTAATTAAAACGACATTGTCTCTAAAGAGTTTTTTTTCTGCAGTAAATGATACGGATTTCATAAACTACTCATTGAGAGTTGAGCACATCTTCACCTTCAAAACCCTGCATAACTCTTCTGCTGTTCTAGCTGGCAACAGATACACACTGAAAATAACATGAGTTAAAAAGTGGAAAGGAAGTGAGATATAGTCTTAGAAAGAGATATTTTAAATTAGGACATTTAAATTAGGCTCGTAGGATAGCTAGAAGGGAATGAAGACACAAACAGGGAATCTGTGGCATTTCTTATCCCTGGAAGAAAGTTCATAAATGAGAAAGATGCTGACCTGAAGGTAGGTGTCTTGGGGAGACAGGGTAGGGGATGACACTTACTGGAGGAATGATACTGGTAACCCTGCCCTCAGGATGGGACTTAAGGAAAGGGAGTCGGAAGAACGAGCAAGATGGGAACTGTGGGTGTTGGTGCATGGGCTCGGGGCAGTGCAATGGCACAGGAACTAGCAGAGGTGGGCATGGCAACACTGGGAACTGTGCCAACAGTAATCAGGATCATTTTTTTGGGGGGGGGATGGTGTCTGAGATACATGCATCGTCTTGGCAGTGAGAGGATGAGCTGTGACTTCGTAAAGAGGATGGAAGCTGCAGAAAGAGACTATCTGGTAAAAAAGAGGAACTTTTGGAGAGACATTAGGAGAAAATCAATAATTAGTATAAATGAGGAACAAAATAGTTAGGCTAACTACATTTAGGAGGGAACTGACACTAATGGAGCCACTATGAGGATTGCTGTACCCTGACACTTCGTTGTTAAAGGTACTCCCGTGAGTTTGCAGAGGGAAGTCAATAAAGAGATGTACTATTTAGAGAAACCATTTAAAATGGAGTACCAAACCCCAAACCACATCATTAAAATGCTACAATATTTTAAAAATCTACTTTCTTTCACTCATAAGGAGAAAACTTTCAGAAGTTTACTCTCCATTAACTACTTTTTGTAGTAACAGTGGAAACAGAGGTTTGTAGAAGCACTTGCCATGTGCTCTATCCTTGAAGAATATAATTCCATTTTCACTATAGATGTTTTAATCCTTCTACATCCAGTGTTCTGCTGGAGGTAGTACCATGCCAAAACAGCAAAGAACAGGTACCTTCACAGCCTGTTTAATTAACCCCCTCAGTGCCAACATTTAGCTACATACTGATTCTGACATGGCGCAATATATTTGAGACTTTAAGCTACTTTGGCATGCAGAGATCCCTTGTTGTGTACGGCACTTCTCACAGAACAGTAGTGATGCACGAACAACGTAGAGCTAACAGTAGTGCAAGAGCATTTTCCCAGTGCAGCACACTCATTTCCCAGTGCAGTGTAGCAAACTTGCACAAACCCATTTTCTGAGTACTAGGAAAGTGCGCGGCATTCGCAGTGTGTGTGAAATTCTCCACCTCTGAAGCATGGTGCGTGTTAAGTTTCTTGTTGTACCTCTGAGCTTTTTGCATGCTCTTCTTTCTCCTTCCTGTCTGAGATTTCCAGATTCGATTTATGAGTGTTGTCTGTATCAGACAGGTGACCCTTTTCGAATTCTTTATTTTCTCTATCTTGAACCTAGAATCCCAATATTGTGCAATGAAACTTCCAAAAGTTATAAGCTTAAAATAGTAAGACAGGAAGAAGCAGCAGTTCCATTTCTGACACGATGACCAACACAGGTTTTTATTCCAGGTGCATGATTTTATGAAGTTTTCTATGTTTGTTTGTTTGTTTTTTTTTTTTCTTTTTAGCCCCTAGTCCAGCTATTCCAACAAAAATCAATACACTCGTGAAAGAACTAGTCTGGCATTTGTGAATATGCCATGAAAGTCTAATAATTTGTAAAAAACTAAAATCATATTCCATTTAATTCTCGGCTCTTTAAGAGGACTTTTTTTCTTCCTTTTCCTTTCAATACACTCGTGAAAGAACTAGTCTGGCATAGTGAATATGTCATGAAAGTCTAATAATTTGTAAAAAAAACAAAATCATATTCCATTTCATTCTAGGCTCTTTAAGAGGACTTTTTTTCTTACAAGACCAAGGACAGAAAGGCCACTAATAGGGAGGAAAAAAGAAGTATTAGTAGTAGGACTAAGTAGCAAGAGCAAAGGGAAGAGATAAATGTAATTGTGTTGTCTTATTCTTCAGGACTAACCAAAGGCACAGGTAGACGACAGAAAAATATGGTGAGCAGTTTCCCAAGAGAACATAGATAGTAAAACCCATTAAAATAACTGGGAAAGAGAAATATCACCAACTACTCATGCTGACAACACAAGAACATTAAATTATTATCTAGAGGCATAGAATTTTAAAAATAACCTAACTCTTAGAGCCTGCTTGCAAAGAATGCAACGCCTGAGAAAAGAGCAGAAGGAGGGTCTGGGCAGACGTAGCATGCACGAGGCAGAGGAAAATGGGACCATTAATGATCCATCTATTCCAAAGAAACAATTAAATATACGTAGAGGGTTGGCAGCACTTCTAAACCGGAGAAGGCTGGGTCAATTGGAAGAATGACAAGCTGGCTATAAAGAGATGGAGAAGCAAAGAAACAAACGGCTCAAGGCAAACTTTACTCGGCCCATATTTCCCCAAAACTGTAACGAAGGAACAAAGGAGATGACAAAGTTTAGCAACAAATGTGACCAGAGAGCAGTTTTGTAACAAAGCCTCGCTGAGCCCCTGACCCACCTTCCAGTCTCTGCACAGAAAACGGCAGTACTTCCACCTCCGTGTGCCAATAGTTTCAAAGTCCCATTAAACAGTCTTCTCCCGACAAAAATCCCAAAACAAAGGCTATCTGAAGCTCAGCATGGGAAATATCCAGTCACAGTTCTGGGTATTTTGCTGTCGAAGCTAGCAATTATCGGACCGATCTAAATAAAATTCAGTCGTCACTCCCGGAATGCACTGAGAGTCACCTCAAAAGATGGGATTATCCCAGAAGAAAGTGGAGTGGAGGATCTTCCACCTACTCATAAATCTTCCCCACTCTTCTGGCTGCAGCAGCAGCTTCCAGAAAGGCCAGTTTCAACAGCCATTAGACCTGCAGGTTGTCCCAAACAGGATGTTAATACAAGATAACACCGAACTGGTGGAAGGAAAACTTCTGACTGTGGACATAGAATCCGGAGGTGGGAGAAGGAAGGAACTCCAGCACACTTCCCACCTGCAGAGGAGATACAGCAGCCAGCACAACGTTGCAGCATCAAAGCAATGAGTTCTCACCTCTTCAGCCCCAGCAGCAACCTCGGACGTACGACAGAGCTTTCCAAGGAGACAGGAACTTGCTGATCCAGTGACATAAGTACATGAGGAACAGACTGGGGCAGATGTAGTTCTTGGGACTCCACATGGAAAGACATAGTAGATGCTGGAAAAAAACTGCCATGAGCAGGTAGGGCGTAATGATTGTTTCTGCCAACTGTCTGCTTTGCAGTCCTGTGGACTGGCAAAGCCATTGGAGGAACACACACAAGAACCTTGCTGATTCAGGTGGGCAGAAATAAAGCCCAAGGGATGCATCCAAGAATCGACCAGAACTCTGTATCACCAAAGAAATCAAAGTTAGAGATCCTCAGTCTACAAAGATGCATTTTAGAATGAAAATTTCCATTTCCAGTAGTTTAATCTCAGATAGCTAAGCTTGTTAGCTGACTGATAAACTACAGATGCTACCCGACCACTTACCAGTCACGTACTGCAGATGACTGCAGACCTTCTAACATCAACCTAAGTCATAAACCATGGAGAGGCTCTTGTCCAGCTCTGTATGTGATCTTCAGCGTGAGGACAGAAGTCTCAGCACCGCCCTGAGTTACAACACCCTGATATGTGAATTGCACTCTCTGTGCTCTCCCATTTCTGGAGGAAACAAGCTCCTGGTGCTCTCTATCGAGATGGAAATGCACTCAACTGCATACATCTCACTGAGGTTGCTACCAACAGAGAGAGTCTCAGGCCTTTTGCAAAAAAGCCACTTCGCGGTCCATCAAACACAAACCAGGGCTACTTGCCCCGTGTACCTGAGTTTGTCCAGAGTGCCATGTCCAGAGTGCCATGTCCAGAGTGCCATGTCCAGACATGTGATACTGCACCTTCTGAGTCCTCTCACAGCAGGGGGACAGGCAGAGCAGCAGCCTCAGGGGGTCCAGTGACGTCTGGGACCGCTTTTATGGAAGGCAGGCTTCATCTTGCAGGCAGCCCTGAGTAATGCCCCTCCAATCCAGACACTTCGATAAGGTCAGGCAGAAGTCAAAGTAACTCAAAATTAACTTTAAGACATTTGACACCCTATCTGAAGAAAGGTCTCTTGTGAGTCAGGCCTCCAGATGAATAAATCATTACATCCTTTCTCCTTTGACAAGAAGGCACCAAGGTCATAAACTCAGTAAAGATCTTTTGTGCCATGGAGAAACTAAAAATTCTATAATGAAGATGTTTCTGCCTCCTGGTAAAATATAGGTAATTCTGTTGCAAAGAGCTTATCAAGGTATGGGTTTAAAGCAGACACAAATTAAAAAATCTTTAGGACGCGTTTCTCTCCCAATCAGGAGAGACTGTCATTGTGCATCTCATCAGTGGAAAACAGCTCCCACATCAACTGGATCAACTGTAGCCAGGCATCCTGGGGGAAACAGAAGTCTTCCTGGAAAGGCAAGATGATCTTTCAAGACACTCTCTGAAACTTTCACCAAAAACAGAACAAAAAGAACACTCTTCACCACCACCACCCACCTCAAAAAAAACCCACAACCCAAACCCACACGGTAACAAAGAAGTTAAAAAGGTTGAGGTCTTATTTTGACTGAGAAGAGATGAAGGTCTCAGAAGATGCAGTACAGCTGAGGCAGTATTATTCCAGCTGTTAGCACCAGCATCTGCATCGGATCACTCATAGAATCATGGAATCATAGAATGGTCAGGGCTGGAAGGGACCTTCAAAGGTCATCTAGTCCAACCCCCCTGCAAGGAACAGGGATATCTCCAACTAGATCAGGTTGCTCAGGGCCTCGTCCAACCTGGCCTTGAACGTCTCCAGGGATGGAGCATCCACCACCTCTCTGGGCAACCTGTTCCAGTGTTCTACAACTCTCTCACTCCAAGAGTAACTCTCTCTCCTTTTTACACCGTATTAATAAACCTGCTGGGAATTAACACAAAGGATGCAATGCTGCAGGGTGGACTAGAAAAGACTTTTTTTTAATTCAGAGCTGAGAGTTATATCCAGTACTTCCAGTTTATTTGTCGATCCATACATATCAAAAATATTAACTATAAGGATCTTAACTGCTGATTTGTGGTATTTCTCATTGTTCTTGATGGAAGGGCCACACAACGCACTAAGTTATCCCAGACTTCTTTTTTGTCCAAAATGCACATCTTCCAAAATTACTTAGGACAATAAAGAGTTTTTTTTTTAATTGATGATTAATTACAAAATTGTTTGCTTATTATAACTGAAGGTGGAGGATGATACAGGGGATTTGAAATGTAGCTTGCTACTCATTTCAGCTGCTCTCTTTAATTATTTAGCAATAATTTGGGGAAGAGACATGTGTAAATTAATTGTAAGAAAACCCAAAAGAGATCAGAAAAGAAACCAGCTTATCTGGCCTCTGAGGAAGAGAAAGTGAGCGTTGTGCCCGAAATTAAATTACCTTGTTACTAGAAACTGTCTTCAGCCTAAATCTATATCACAACATACAATTCAAACTGTATTTTAACCTGAGGCTTTAGATCATGTCTCCTAATTATCTGAAAGGCAAATGGAGCTAATTACGTTTTATTTAATGTGTTACAACTGAAATCACACTAATATCATTCACAAAATCATTCACATTTTTCCTGCCGTTGCCCATACCCCTCTTTATTTTCATGCAGGAAGCCACAGAGAGGAAAACGTGTACCTTATCCTGCTTGTAGCTCAAAACCTTGCCAGTGTCATTACTTGCATGAAAGACCAGAACACTTTTTGGTTTTTCTTTAGTTGACAAGACAGTTGTGTTACTAGTCTTGACCAAGCACCAGGAAAACTAAAATCTGGAAAAGTTCCATCTTCACTATTATAATAACAGAGGAAAACTGCATCCTCGCTGATTTGATGGAAATAGTCATGCACTCACATCAGTTACTCGTGGCAGAAAATGAACTAGGAAATTGCAATCACATTATTTAATTGCACTTCAGGAATTCCTGCAGGGTCTTCAGCAATTCAACGATTTTTATGGAACGCTTCTTGCGACACTCATGCGCATCCAGGTGCATCCACAGCAAAACGAGGTCAGATTATTTTTCTGTTGCAAAAGCGAATGCATTTTCAGCAAAGAACGAAACGTAAGAATGAAATCTGTGACCACCACAGCAGGTGGTCACACCAGCATTTCACAGGAACTGTAGTATTTCATGGTGGTGCTGCCATTTACTCCTTCCTTACACCTCCGTAACGGAGCCAAAATCTGTGACCACCACAGCAGGTGGTCACACAAGCATTTCACAGGATTTTATGGTGGTGCTGCCATTTACTCTTTCCTTACACCTCTGTAACGGAGCCGTCACGGGGCTCTGCACACTCACAGGACCCTCTGCTGTGGCTCAGTTAACTGGGATGTTAAGATTTTAGTTTAAGAACTTAACATTTAGTTTAAGAACTTAACATTTAGTTTAAGAACTTAACATTTAGTTTAAGAGCAACTCAACCAGTGCAGCTGCCCACTTCTGCAGCCAGTGTCACCCGACACAGCCACACCACCAAACCCCTCATGTCATTGTCAGACAACCTGGATTGAAGTTCCAGACAGACACTATGTGTGTGTTCACAGGAGGGTTACGAAAACCTGCAGGAAGCTACGATGAATACTCAAGTTCAAAAGCCAGAGGATACAAAACCAACTCTGTGCATTCCGTACCACAACACCAGAACACATGAATACTCATGGCACAAGACATAAATTGGTTAAAATGCCAGATTGGCACAGCAAGAATTTAATGAGTAAAAAGGAATAGCAGTGGAATTCAAGATTTCAGATTTGGATAGAGAGATGAATGATTTAACTTAAATATTTTAGTTTGAAGTACTAATCAAAACTGTGCCTAGATTTGAAGAAAGTCTTCTGAAGCCACCTTAAAAGAAAGCTTTTGTGGTTTTGTTTTGTTTTTTTTTTTTTAAGAAATAAAAATGTTTAACTGTAAATAAAATACACATAACTGACAGAGCAGCTACAGTGATGGCTGAATATGTAAAAACAGACAATCTATGTCAGGGATATGGAAAATTAAGGAAGAAAAGTTCATGCATACACGAGTAGCCAGAGACAGGCGTATTTCAAGGATGATGAATTTACCATAATATTTAAACAGCAAAGGGGTGAAAAGATAATACGATTTTTTTTTTTTTCCTTCTTTCTTTCTTTCAAACACGAAGTTTTTCAGGAATGCTGGCATTCTCCTACACCTGCCCGAGCCCACAGACTACCAGCACACACTGCCAGGGCCAGAGACTGCCCTTATCTCCAAACTGTGCCCGCACGAAGCGAGCGGCCAGCACCAACGCTAACGAGTCGCTGCCCTCTGAGACCAAGCTTCAGCTCTTTGTATCAGCTTGGCACATGCCTAGGTGCTCAGGAACTTACCTCCCAGTGGCTGCACTGGTGCCAGAACAGTTACTGTGCCTACTGACCCACTGCTGGCAAACAGACTAAGGGCTCGATTCTGCAACACGTTGTAAGTCGCTATTCAGGGGCTGCTTGATCTCAAGTTCCCTGCACTCCTGCTGACCTCATTAACTTTTGGCAAGGTTAATTGGCTATATACCACGTGTCAGGTGACTAGAAGAAGCAGAACCTGATGGCATGGCAGGGTCAGACGGAACGAACTGATTTGTCATTGAGATACTTGGCGCAGAAATACACTTGAGTCTGAGATATAAATCGTGATCAGACCCATTCTCCTGCTAATATGCGAGTCTCTCGTGTCATTGACATTTAGGAGAGTGCTTGTATATATCAACACCAAAACTCAGACCTTAAAACCAAAAATTCAACCTGATAAACTCAGTAGTATCGGGAAAAACAGCAACTCAATGTAAAATTAAATTAACTTTACGGAATGAAACCAGAAACTATTAGGTATGAGGCTGACAGCAGATGCAGAATATCATTTGGTGGAGTTCTGTTAAAACCCCATCTCGAACTCTTGAGAGGAACAAGGATCCTTTTACATTACCTCCACTGAAATCTCCTTTGGTGCCATGGGCCACTTGTGCTCATACTTTTCTTTCACAGTTTGTTCACTGTTGGCGGTTGGTGTTGAGTTCTCAGGCCGTACTCCATGGCTTGTTTTGCCCACCAGATTTTGAACTGATTTTACCATATTCTTTAAATCCTCCGGGTATGGAGTGGGATAACGTTTTAGATTTATTTCAACCTGAACATTCATAAAAAAGAATTAAAGCACAAATACAAAATGAAAACAGCATGCAAACTAAAACCATGGTTACAGTACTATGGCCAAGTGCAAATTCCTCAAATTTTTAATTAATCTCTTTGAGGTAATGTGTCACATAGAGCTGTCTTCACAGATTTTTAAGTTCTTGGACTGAAATCTGCTCTCAGTTACACTATGTCAAGCTTTAATGGAATTTCAGTGACACAAAATAATGGATGGGAATGGTTCCCTATAAGCCTATCTGTTACCCTGAGAGAGTATTGTATTTTAATTCTACACTTTGCTTGAGAGCACTGACATATTAAATCACGCTCTTTCAGAACAGCGCTGGTGTAAATGCAGAATTAATTTAGCTATGTTCAAGTGTACTGAATTAACCTGAATTATCTATGGCAGCTGAGAATGGAATCTGATCTACTGGGAGCTCTTTGCTCTTTGAGATGTATAATGTACATACATGCACCCAACTGTATTTCACTCTTTTCTTATACAGAGAACACAGGGAAACAGACTCAAACCACTACAGAAAGGTCACCCTACGTCACACTGAATGGTACGTCAACTGACTGACAGACCTACAGATTTTCTAGAAAACTCCACATTTTAAGTCTGCCAATTTCATCACTCCGAAGGAGAGAAACGTTGTATTTCCCAAGTTCCAAGCAATCCTAATGTGAAGACAATTCTACAAAATCCCAGGGCTGAGTGAAAAGGGAAGAGTGGCTGAGAAGGCTCACGAATGACATCACCCTCCATCATCCGGCAAGACACACACTGTCAGCAAATTGCTCTGAGCAAACGACCCCATCAGGAATGATCCAAGCAGGGAAGACGACACGCATGATGCCGACCTCTCCTTATACCTCTGCAGAGCATCTCCTGCCCTCCCCGCTCCATCCTAAACAGCCCCGCTCAGGGCTGTTTAGCTTGGAGAAGAGGAGGCTGAGGGGAGACCTGATTACGGCCTATAAATACTTGAGAAGGGATGGTGGGGAGGTGGGGGAAGGGCTCTTTACATTAGTGATGGGTGATAGAACAAGAGGAAATGGGTACAAGCTTAGTCAGGGGAGATTCAGGTTGGATGTTAGGAAGTATTTCTTCTCTGAAAGGGTTGTCAGCCACTGGAATAGGCTGCCCAGGGAGGTGGTTGAGTCCCCATCCCTGGATGTGTTTAAGAATAGGGTGGATGATCTACTTAGGGATATGGTTTAATGGGGATTAGGGACGGATGGACTCGATGATCTCTAAGGTCTTTTCCAACCTAGAAATCTATGAAATCTATGAAATAAATCCTTCATGCCACAAACCTGCCACATCTCCCCCGCCTTCTTCTGAGCCGTGAAAGATGGCTGTGGCTTAAGCACCAAGCTTGGAATTCCCCTGGTGAATCTGCCTCTTGAAGAGCCTGCCACTCTCTTTGGGCCCCAATTTGGGGTGGAAATGCAATCAAATCCTTCAACGGAAAAAAATTACGGCTCCCAGTGCAAGTCGTGCGTGTCAGGATAACTGTCCCTGATTATAAGGCTGTGAAATTTGAAATTACTCTACATTTCCTATGAGGTAAGTATTTGGAAGTGTTCACCACACAGAAGCTTTTACCTCATTGTGTATGTGAGGTAGGCAAAGGGAGATTACTGCTAATAGCTCGCCATTATAGCCATCGGATTTTAAATCCCTAACGAGTAGGAAAGGTGTAATTTTGGATACAAATGAATGCTTTGTCGATGGGAATATTTTAGAAGTAGAAGCATGATCGACTGGGAAAATAAAACTATATGAAATACTAGTGTGCAATTCTGAGCCGCAATAGAATAAACGCTACGGATAATAGATTCTGACATGACTTTAACATAAAACGTTAAAATGTATGACTGTGATGTCATATGTTAATAAAGAATTTCAACAGAAAAAAATAAATTAAGTCTGTAAAGCATTACTAAAGCTCTGGTTGATTTACGGTTGAAAGAAATCATATTTAGATGTGGCCTAATTAGGCATTTTTCACAAATTCCAGGCCATGATTTAAGTGTAAGGTCGACAGACAACCTTAGCTAAGAGTTGAATCATAGAATCATAGAATGGTCAGGGCTGGAAGGGACCTTCAAAGGTCATCTAGTCCAACCCCCCTGCAAGGAACAGGGATATCTCCAACTAGATCAGGTTGCTCAGGGCCTCGTCCAACCTGGCCTTGAACGTCTCCAGGGATGGAGCATCCACCACCTCTCTGGGCAACCTGGTCCAGTGTTCTACAACTCTCATGGTAAAAAATTTTTTCCTAATATCCAACCTGAATCTACCTCCCTCTATTTTAAAACCATTACCCCTTGTCCTATCACAACAGGCCCTCCTGAACAGCCTCTCCCCATCTTTCTTGTAGGCCCCCTTGAGGTACTGGAAGACCGCTATAAGGTCACCCCGGAGCCTCCTCTTCTCCAGGCTGAACAGCCCCAACTCTTTCAGCCTGTCCTCATAGGAAAGGTGCTCCAGCCCTCTTATCATCTTCGTGGCCCTCCTCTGGACCCTCTCCAACTGGTCCACGTCCTTCTTATGTCGGGGGCTCCAGAACTGGACGCAATACTCCAGGTGAGGTCTCATGAGGGCAGAGTAGAGGGGAAGAATCACCTCCCTCGACCTGCAAATCCCCAGTAAGTGCTGGCCAGGGGAAAATTAACTGAAAGACTTTCATGAGACAGGCAAGTCATAGACAGGGATTTCAGCAAGTCTTGGGCCACTACGAGTATTAACATTAAACAGGAAAAATATTGGCAGTGCTGGTAGGTGATACCCACTAAAATGCAGATGTTTCCATCACTGATTTAGACTTGTCATCACAGAGGGAATCTGTACTCCCTGTCGACACAATTCTGGTACGTTTAATGCTACAACAAAGGTACCATCACCTTGGAAAGGGAATTTTCAAAGTTCGAAATTCTCGATGGAAGAATTTATTGAATAACTTCAATTACCAAATCTATTTTAACATACAGCTGGCTGAGAGTTCAGTTTTAATTATGAAAGATAGACAGCAAAAACCATGGATGCTTCTACAAAAAGCTACCGATGTTTGTGGTCACCATCTATCAATAATCTACATTAACCTTCAAACTCATCCCACAAAGGTCTGGTGGAACTGCTGAAAACGTACGCGTTAGAACTTCCCTAAGACTTATTGAGGCACAGGGATGGAGTGACACACAGAAGTTCTCCAAAGGACCCAGCAATGAGGTTCCAGTTCATGTGCATCCGGACACAGCTCACTCAAACCACCCTACAGCACTTTTATGGTCACTCATAGCTAGAGATGAATTGGCTTTACTGGAAAAGAGCATGGACACACCAGAAGGATGCAAATAAGCGTTTCTAGTTAATAACTTTGTAATTGAATTTGAGCTCAGTTTTTCATGACTTAGGCAAAAAGGCTGTTTCCCAGGATACGGAAAAAGGATCCCCCGACCTTCACTGGCAAATCTTTTCCTTTCACAGCCTGGCAAGATTTTCCGGGTTTGAACAGTACTACTCCTCTACTTTCACATTTTACAAACTACAGGTATTTATGGGTGCCTGGTGTACACACAGTGGGATATGAGAGGAGAGATGCTCTCTTGAAGGTACACAGACAGGAGGAAATGTCTGATCAACACCCAGCTCCTTGCTTAGCTTTTCATCTAATAATTCTTCTCTACGTAAGCAACAACTATGGCATCAGCTGCAAAATTTAGTGTTTTGGTCTGATGAGAAGACATTAGGATCATTATGGAGGAGAGGAACATTGGATCGAATATGGGAATAGAGGAATCTCTTGCAGAAACAGACTCCTATACCACAGCATTGGTTTGTACCCACTCTCTATGGATGAGAGGGAGAATGGGTGAGTAAGAACTCCAGGAAATACATTTTAGTGTTGGACTCTTCCCCAGCTGAGGAGCAGTGATACAAAGGATAAAGACTGACGTGACCTTCGGATGGCCAAGCCAAAATGTTACAGAGAGGGGCAGCCCTGTGGGACACGGATGACCCCCATGGTACAAACCACCCCTTCTGCTGGCAGCGGGACCGGCCGCCGCCTGCCCTCCTCGTGTCCTGCTGCAGCCGGGCTGGCACTGCTGCTGACCAAGGCACACCTCTGGGAATGCCAACGCGGCTCCGCAGACCATGGCTTTGGCAGCAGCTGCCAGGGATCACAGAATCATAGAATGGTTAGGGCTGGAAGGGACCTTCAAAGGTCATCTAGTCCAACCCCCCTGCAAGGAACAGGGATATTTCCAACTAGATCAGGTTGCTCAGGGCCTCGTCCAGCCTGGCCTTGAACATCTCCAGGGATGGGCAAACAGACCAGGCAAGAAGCACTGTAACCAGAGTACCCATTGCATCCTGAGCAGCTCCGGTGTGGAGCACTGGGAGCACTGGGATCACACCACCCAGCGACGCTGCTCACAGCATGGGCACAGGGCAGCTATTTTTGTCAGGTGCTGTTTCTAGGAAACCTGAACGCGTGGCACTGTGTCTGGGCTGTGTTTGCCTCCCCGTTTTCCATGCAGCAGATGGCAGCATCTGAACTGAAGTACAGGAACAGCATTCAGCAGATGAAGGGGTTATTTTTTTCTACAAGAACAGTTTACTCAAAGGAAACATTTGTTTCAGTCATTCACAGTGTTCTGAAATATATTAGAACCAAAACGGCTATCTAAGTGGGATAACTAATATATTACATTTCAATACTTCAAATAATGCTTGCAAATAACATACAATACGATTAAATTCTTGTATGATCTTAGAAATTTGCATCTATTTCTCTGTTAATATTTCGATCGTTTTGCACATTTGGACAGCCATATTACCCACAGTTAAAATTCTGGTAAGAAGTGGTAGAACAATGTAAAACTCTCCCAGATGCTTTGTTTTCCATATATGACCCCTAAATGTGCAATTCACCTGGGTAAAATTTCAGTTTAATCTATTTATTGTGAGACAAAGGTTGTTATTTGACTTAATTTTCTGTTTTACTAAAGCAGCAATGTCCATTACCCCTTGTTATAAGACTTAGATAAAAATTCCTAATGGGGAAAAATTTTAAAAAGAAAAATCCAAGATCTAAATGGAATGTTAAAATAGCTATCAATAATAGTATCATTAATTTTAAGATTAAAATGTGATTTAAATCTCATATGTCTTTTTTCTCTGGCAATATATTTTAGGTTGGGTATCCTACTGCAGTACAAAATTTGCAGTGTTGAAGTGTTTGACCAGGGTTAATTCATAGAATCATAGAATGGTCAGGGCTGGAAGGGACCTTCAAAGGTCATCTAGTCCAACCCCCCTGCAAGGAACAGGGATATCTCCAACTAGATCAGGTTGCTCAGGGCCTCGTCCAACCTGGCCTTGAACGTCTCCAGGGATGGAGCATCCACCACCTCTCTGGGCAACCTGGTCCAGTGTTCTACAACTCTCATGGTAAAAAATTTTTTCCTAATATCCAACCTGAATCTACCTCCCTCTATTTTAAAACCATTACCCCTTGTCCTATCACAACAGGCCCTCCTGAACAGCCTCTCCCCATCTTTCTTGTAGGCCCCCTCAAGGTACTGGAAGACCGCTATAAGGTCACCCCGGAGCCTCCTCTTCTCCAGGCTGAACAGCCCCAACTCTTTCAGCCTGTCCTCATAGGAAAGGTGCTCCAGTCCTCTTATCATCTTCGTGGCCCTCCTCTGGACCTTCTCCAATTTCTTCATATTATTCAAGGAATAGAAATGTTCGTGCCATGGAAACGCAGATGGTCCTGACAATACCCTTCTAACAATGCAACCAATTAAGGGCTCAACTGAAAACTCTGGAATTATATTAATTTCAGGTAACTTGGGGAGGATATTCATGTTTTGATTTTCATTTCTGGTAGGTTACAAAACTGAGAGACACCCTCTCCATCACACACTCCTCTGTAACTCCTTGAGGTTGCAAAGCTCTCGTCGGCTCCCACTTCGAGAGGAATATGGAATCCTCTATGTGATCCAATTCTTTTAAAGCACTACGTCGTTGGACATTTATGTTGATTTTGTCTTCGTGACTCAAACACCTGTCACAGCAGGAACCCCACATTAGGGCTATGGGCCTGAACTGCTTTAGGAAATCCAAGTTTTGCTGTCTAGACAGCAGTGGCAAAAGCAGAAATTGGGAATGTCTACTTTGGGGAGAAGAGATACATTATTCTTCCTCAACTGCTGTACTTGAGACATGGTGACAAGTACTTCCTGGGTGTTTAGAACACAAAAATAATTCAATTCAAAACTGAACCCTGCCCCTAATCTCTGAATACCAGATTAAATCAAACAGAACTTACCTTAACTTTCCCTGCGTTTTCCTCTTCTTCCTTTTTGTCTTCAAATTCGAAGGCAACGGTCATACGTTGCTGTCTCTGCTCCTCCCACAAAGTAGGGTTAAAACTATCACTGTCCGACTGGAAATCTACAGTTAAATGGCAAACAGCAACGCACAGGAACCGTAATTAGTGCACCCAGCAGAAGACTGGAAATCATCTAAAAAGACATGTTCCCAGTTGATGCTGCAATCTTGGGTCATTGTTTAAAACTGTCGAGGGGGGCAATGAGAGCAGCAACCGATAAACCATTGCAGAGTTTGATATTAAAACAGAAATGAGAGTGATGGGAAGCAAGAGGGTTTCGGGGCAGACCTGGAGCAGAGGGGGAGTATGTGTGGAGCCAAATCCTCAGCTCTGGCAGGCTCGGAGCTCTGACCCCCCACACCAAGGGGCTGCCCCACTCCCCAGCTCTGCCCAGTGTCTCTGTGGGCTGAGCTGGCTCCAGCTGGCGCGCTGTCCTCACGGCAGCAAGGCATATCCTTGAATTTCTGTCCCGTGCACACTCAATTCCCAGGTTCAGATGGTTCACACAAAGCCATTCTTCAGAAAACAAAAAGGTGTTTAAGGAAATGGAAATCTGGTGGCCTGAGGCTAACGGATTTGCAAACAGGATGCTTTTCTGTACGACAAAATACAGACCGTTAGGCGTGCACCACTGGCTTCATGTGTCAGAAGAGACACTCACACACAGAACCAGGTCTGAAACCCTTTTTTCTCCCTCTCTCTGTTTT